TCTCTCTCTCTCTCTCTCTCTCTCTCTCTCTCTCTCTCTCTCTCTCTCTCTCTCTCGCTCGCTCGCTCGCTCGCTCTCTCTCTCTCTGTCTCTCTCTATCTTCCTGGACGTGCCTCAATGCTTTCGACTGGCGTACGCGCTAAGGAGAAAGGAGGGGAAAGGAGAGATTTCATCCAGAACAAGTTATAAGCGAGAAAGCAGAAAGAGTAACATATTGACGTGAGGTAAATCGATCAACCAAGGGATAGAAAGGAAAGGAGCCAGTTCCCGCCTCAAGGGATATAATCAGGTGACATATCGGCCAACAGCAAGACCGATCGCCAGGTCGACGAGGCAGGTAACGGATCACGTGCGCACGCACAGCGACCGAAATGTCTTTTGATGAGAGAACTCACCCCTGAACGCTCTTCAGCGTTTGATTGAACCTTTTATCCAGATTGCTCAAGCCGCTGCCGCCTTGACCGCCATTTCCTCCCCCTCCTTTCCCATTCCCTCTACCATCAGGACTGCCTCCTCCTCGTCCTACTCCTCCTCCTACTCCACTTCCTCCTCCTCCTCCTCCTCCTCCTCCCGCCGCTCCTCCTCTCCCTGCCATATCTCCTCCCCCCCCCGTTGGTGCTTTCGAAGCCGATTGCCCTTCATTCTGGCCTTTGTTTGTCCGCATCTTCTCGTCGGGCCGACGCCGCCAACTCATCAACAGACCTTCAACGACACCGGGTGCGTTCCACGACCTCCTCCTTCACCGTAGGCCTTCAGGGATTTCGAATGAACCACAAAGGGGTGGTGAATTACGACACCATCACCAACTCTACGGGCAGGTTCACTACAGAGAAGGGGGACCAATTAACTCCCAAATTGGCCCCTCCGCTGGTATCCCCACTGACGGGACAAAACGCCATATCCGGCCCACAATTGCGAGCACGGCGGGCGGGTACACGCCCACGCCCACCACTCCTCCCCTCACCAGCTCCCTCCCGCCCACCACTCCTCCCCTCACCAGCTCCCTCCCGGCCACCTCTCCTCCCCTCACCAGCTCCCTCCCGCCCACCTCTCCTCCCCTCACCTGCTCCCTCCCTCCCGCCACAGGATCGTTCGGTCCTCTGCTCCAACCCTGAATCGAATTGACGCACTGACAACGCCCTGTTCCACCTCTCGAGCCCCTCCCCTCCCTACGCCAACCGGCGGTTGTGCACCGCCTCCCCGCGCTCTCTCGTCCACGTCCCGCCTACACCGATAGCTACCCGAGGCTGGGTGTTGACCGCCTGCCGCCGGGGCCCAAGTCCCACCACAGTAGTAGCAGAATTAAGTTTCCTCAACACACTAATCCAGACGTTTTTGTGGAAATGTGCGGAAACTCGCGTTGAGTTTCCTCAACCGCACATCTCGACAAACTCGTCCAGATTCGGCCGTTGAGGAAACTCAATGCTGCTACGTAGTGGGACTTGGCACTGCTCTCAATTTCCCGCCCGCGCTCTTGGGCGAGCCCCTTGTCGGTACGTCGGCCCGCCAAATTTCCCAAAGGCGTCCACAGGTCACCGCCGTCAAGACTTCGCCGATCCCCGTTGACCGAATGCACAGGACCAGGCCCGCCGCTGGCGGCAATTTTGTGCTTGGAAAAACATGAAGATAACCGTTATAGTGGCCATGTTCGGTGACCGCGCGCAGCGCCTTCCGACCGGCGGTTGGACCGTCCAGTCCGCCCTCACTTGTTCATGCACGCTTCCCTTCGGCCCCTCCCAGCCTCGCTGGCCGGGCTCACTCCCATCCCATAGCCTGTCGGACAACTGATACATCGGGCCTCGCCGCACAACTCTCGAAATGTGCAAAACGAGAGTGAATCTTCCTCTAGAATACGGAAAGATGCACGGCCATGATTTTTGCTGTTGTGCATGTCGAGAGTAGTGCAGCGAGGCCCATCGACCGATGGAAACGAAGAGCCGGGGAAGGGGCAAAGTGAGGACATAATGGGTTTTTTTTTTTTTTTTTGGAAGAGCTCAAAATGCATTACAATATCCAAGGATGAGGCCGGGAATCCCTCAACAAACAACCCGGAGAGGGGGCTGGGGCCATTACCCAGCATAGGCTCAAGCCGGAAACCGGGTCCAGCGTCCCATCCATTCCCTTTCCTAAGCCACTACCGTCTTCCCCCGAACATAACGCACCCTTAAAATGAATGTATACAAGTTATATTTTCGGCCAGATACAGCCAAAATGAGTGTGCGTTGTGTTCGGGGGAAAAGGGTAGTACCTTTGCCGTGTGGGAAAATAGCGGATCTCAATTGGTCCTCTGACTGCTTCGAAGGCTGAAACGAAGTGACGACCGCCGATCAGATTTATCAATGGCAGTTGTTGTCGGGCCTGACCTCCGAATCTTTAGGAGTTTGGGAAAACTGCCACTTTTCCCTATTTTCTCAACACTGGTGAAGGTACTAGTGGTCTAAGAGATCTTCCAAAAGATCAACCTTGAAGCTCAGCAAAAAAGGGGAGGCTTCTCTGTCTTAATGATAATATGTCAGTCTTGTGAAAGGACTCCGTGTTTCTTAAGACTGTGTACCCGTTGTAACGGACAAGAAGGCATCACAGTCTTAGCCAAGCTATTAATCGTTTTCCAAACAACCCACCCAGGAATACCTGCTTCTCCAATCCAACCGGGCCTAAAGACGCCCCCCTGGTCTAACCGTCGACCAAAATTTTGAGTTTTTACATAATGTTTTTCAGTCCCTGTGCGAGGATGGCATTCACAGATGGAGAGCAGAAGGGAGTTCCGGTTTAAAATAGTTTAGGATAGGGATATAATAAACCACCAGTACCCCGCCTATGGTAGCCAAAAAAAAACGGCCTCCTGAATTCATGGAGGTCCTTAACAGGGTTGGTAGAGGTCGGGTAGAGCCTCGGTAAAGGTGCGGGGGTAGCTCGTTTTGAAAACCAGAAGGAACGACCAGAGAAGGAAATACCAATAGGATTAAGCAAAAAAAAAAAATATATATATATATGGAAAGGGAAAAGCCTACTGGGAACGGCGCGCGGCAGATGGTGGAGCAGTGTGTCTCATGAGGAACTATCCAGCGTGCAGATATGATAATGAATCTTCCCCCTGAAAGTTGGTTGATACAGGGAAGATCCGTATGTGGCCCTGGACAAGGATGACACGCATTAATCGATAAATAGATCGGGAAAGAAAAAAAAGAAAAAAAAAAACAGCAAGTTATAGTTTCCGTGGCATCACTCTAACGAGCGTCAGTCGAGTTTTGCACAGTGTCATGACTCTAACAACCCGCACCTTGGTACAGATTTGCGAAGTTGCATCCGCGCTAAATTGCCGTAGTTTTTTGTTTTGTGCATGTGGAGTACTAAAATTAGACCCTCATGTTTTTTTTTTTTTTTTTTTTTTTTTTTTACGCCACTGCTTACTCGAATAACCAACGAGGATTGTTTGGAAATATCATGGCTACACCAGACCCGGACTAACAGCTCATGTCCGCGGACTTGCCGCATGTCCGATCGGGACCGGTCACATCCGAACCTCCAGGCATGCATGGTCCCAGACTGTTCGGACCAATGTACAAGTGTGAAAATGTCAACATAATAAATATTAAAAATAAAATAAAAAATATGAAATAAAAGTATGTTATGTAGAATGACAATACAAACCATTTTTGCCTCATGTTTGAATTCCTAACCAAACTTGACTTAAAATTTGAAAACTATAGACTTTCAAAACATAGTGAATTAAAAAAATTGAAATAATGGGTACGTATAATAAATTATTATACAGATAGACCACGTCCGGACCCTAAGAAAAAACAAAAATATGCTTGAAAATCACCCAAAACAATTTGGGAGCTCGACTCCTCAGTGGGGAAGGGTCCCATACTTTAAAAAAAAAACTTCATCAAATTTGTCATATTCAAACCTTCCACATCAGACATATGGAGTCCAAACTGAATCCGGACCGTCTGGACGGCAGTTCAGACATTCGGATCATCATCATTGGAACTACCTTCAATCCCAGTTTTTGCTCCCCCTTCCGAATAAAAAGTTTTAAAACTAACCAAACGCCATATTCGTTTTTTTTTTCTTTCTTGGACAAACGTCATATTCTAAATCATATAGGGTGACATCTGTATTGCCATCCTTTAAGGTTAACAGATCCTTAGCAATCAAGGATCAATCCCCCCCAGTGGTTTTCCACATGGTATCAAAACAATCAGTGAATATTTCGAAAAGTGAAAAAAAAATTGAGCTCACTAGTTTCTACTCGGTAATTTTTTAGCCTGCGATACGAAAAATATTGAAAAACTTTAATTATCGGCAGGAAGAGGAGATTCAGTAATTGTGGACTGGATTCTTCATACATGTTTATTATATCGTCTCTCAGGGACCGCTTACTGCATAATCTTTGAGTCGTCAAACATCCACAGAGAGATCCTAAGGAATAGTAAAAGAAGAGCCTAATTGACAAAACTTCAGTACGTCGGATCCAAGGTATCGGCGAAGCTGTAATAGATGGTCCTCCCGCTTAAACTACACATAGCGTCTTGGAACATGCGTGGCTTAGGCGACACTACAAACAAATGTAAGAGATTCAGACTTTTATCGTTGATTCACTTATCAAATGTGCAAACCACTGGTATGCAAGAAATTAAATATAACACGAAACAAATAAACGAGATAGTTTTTTTTTTGGGGGGGGGGGCTCATATATGATCTTCAATTGAGGTCAATAAAGGTGGAATAACACTCCTAGTACATAAGGACTTAAAGACAGAAATGATTAACATGTATGCGGATTCAAACGGTTTTATGGTATGGGTAAAGTAATAAATTAGCAACGAGGAGTACGCAATAATATAGATACATGCCCCAATTGATCTACCTGACAAAATTATTTTTTGGCTAACCATTTGACCTTTGTTTTAGTACCGATAATTTCGTATTAGTGGAGTATTGGAACACATTATTCGTTTCAGGCCTAGGTTTCTATCGGTTTCTCAAGTTCAGTCTTATGCTCAACTTTTTTCTACATTCATGGAATAACAAAGTTTTGTATATGTTTTTCTTTTTTTTCCTGATTGTAATGAATTTTCTTGGTACGAACCTTGTACCTCAAATAATGTTCAGGCACCCCGAAGTCGTTTGGACTTCATCATAGCAAGGGGTGCACCATAAAATAAAAGTTGTTGGTGTGAGGTAAGTTCGACGTCTCTCTCGGACCACCATTTCAATTTATTGAATATAGTTTCAAAATATATGGTGGAAAGAGAACGACACATTTTTTTTTAATGTTAATATGTTCAAGGATTCGGGGATCAAAAAATGGATAAATAATCAAAGGATCTACTCACCTCAAGTGAAAGACCTATTTGACTCAAAATCAAAATGGGCAAAGGTTGGAATTAACATTACGTGGATTGCCCTGATCAACTTCTTACAGATGAAATTCGCTAACCGGTCATAGCATTAACTATAGTATAAGAAAACAGTGATGCAAGTGAAAAGTTTCAAGGAGGTGAGTCACTGATTTGCCCTAAATTTCCCAACTTCATCAAATATTGAAACAATGTGTGCGTATGCATAAAAATATTTTAACGATATTATGACCAATCGTGCACCGTATAATACTATATATACAAACTTATCAATTAACAATATTTTTGGAGATCGAACCAAAGTTCGCCTTCCATTATCGGTCAATGGACTAGATGAACCATTCATAGTCGAATAATTATATAGAGCAGTTAAGAAATTACCATGGGCAAGTTCCTCGCCCTGAACGGACTGTCTGTGAAACTTTATATAAAATGTAAGAGAATTTTCGCACATTTGTATGTAATGTGCATAACAATATACAAACCATTGGTTGTATACAAAGTGAATCTATAAAAGCGGTTGTTT